CGGGTCTGCGGGCCCTGGAACGCCCTTCCAACCTCAGTTGTTTGTGCCCCCACATTAGATACGTTTAAAAAACGATTGGACGTCGCACTGAGCGTCCTGCGCTTTGTTTTATGAACGAAAACGCTTGTATATATTTAGGCTGACCAGCCTCTTTGGATTTATACCCCAAATTCACGGTCGTAAATCTGTGCGAACCGGTGAGTACTCCATTTTTATTTGCTACCATCACCAACGATAACAATTTCTTAGCCAGTTTTGCGTCGGACCACTTTATCCCCCTAAAACTGCTATACTTCTACCTTTTATCTCACTGACGCTCCTTACTTCAACCACTTATGTGGTTTGTCAATTTGTTAGTATTTCTATTGCCAACCTGCGGGACTTGTTAAGTGTATGCTTTTTTACCCGTCATATACCATTGTTCCATTGTTTCATTATTGAAACCACCAATACGATTGGACTAAAGATGGGGACATGGGCTTGCTGTGGAAGCGTCTGTCTTTGTCGTGGCTGGCCACCTCTGTTTCCGGAGGTATCTTTCGCTGTAGGTGTTATCAGGTGAGCGATCCTGCTACTGTATATGGGCTATTCAGTGTAAACAGGAAACATAAGACAAACGATAGTCGGGTTTTGGAATACCCACTGTGTGTCTTGGATTGCAGCATACAATCTGAATTGTGGTGTTTGGTTGAGTTTGAAGCCAGCCTGTGTCATTCCGACCGAAGTGCAGGGTTTCGGCGTTGCTCTCGCTCATCCCTGCACAATCGCATTGCTTTTGACCCGACTCCTATACTCCAAATGCGCATTACCAGCGGTTGCCAACAATTGTTAATGTTACACACTGCATTAGTATACTAACGTAGTTTGGGATTGGCTGCCTCGTGCTCGGTTGGTGCAAATCGGCAGCTCACTTACGCACCACACACACAAAACCGTGAGCCGGTTGTAGACCATCGTTCCATCACTGAATCGCTGTTATTGGTTAGCCCTTTCGATATGACTATGAGGAGTTACCGGCCTTCGTGAGCCATCACACACATCATACACAAGAGAGTTCATGCCACTAATCTGGATGTGAAATTCAGATGAGTCAGACTATATTATTCGAAACAGACATAATCTACTACAAAAGAAGCCGGAACTCATATTAGAAATTTTATTCTAATGTTCACGTAAACATGTAGAGCAGACTATCGTCCAAGTTGCGAGAACCCACAGCAATGACCGCAAAGGTCATTGAGCTGCTGAGACCAAGGATCACGCAAAATGTGGCATATGAGGATGGTCTAGCGACATCTGAAACGTTGTCTCATTCCCTATCATTTATTCTTTCACATCTTCACTTCTCTCTTCTGCATTAAGCCTTTTGATTCTCCGCTAATCATTGGCCTCAACAAGCCATTCTTGCATGACACGTAGCAATTCAAAAAACACGCCTTGGACTTCTGCTGAACGTAACCCGTAATTCTAGACCTGGATAGTATTTAACACACTTGCGTATTTGACATGATCAACAGTCCTGTGAAGAAAAAATACTAACAGTTTTAGATATTCGAAAACAATGTTCACTTCGTTAGCTCCAATCTCTCCTAGGTCATCATTTCTCTCTCTTAAATTCATTTTTCTCGAAAGGTTACCACGTGATGTTGAGGAACACTGCCACATCGACAGTCCGTAAACCTCAACTATTATCTCCACCTCGCATTGTGATAGTGGAGGTCGATGACCAGATTCGATGCAGCAGCACTAAACTTCTCTTTGACCATCTATTTTTGACAGATGTATTCCCTCAATCCTCATTCTTTTCTTCCTTTCCTCACATATTTTGCTTGGACAGTAAACATTCGGCTAAATTCAAAGCGACCGAAATTATACCGGTTCTTTGCGATTACCTGACTGAAGGCACCCGGGTGTGCTGTTAGCGTTCGTCTCAATCCGGTACTACGCAATGCATTTCTTGTTATCTGGACAACTATCCCATTGTCTGATTGCGATTGTCTCCTATTTGCATACACAAAATTGTTTACGTAAAGCTTTTGTGGTGTTTTTGATCCAACAATCGTTTTCGATGTCCTTTTTGGGTCCATGGACATGTGGAGACTTATGCGTCAGCACTTCACATTTGCCCAACGCGTCGAGTATGCACCCTTTGAAATATTTTTACTTAAACTGAATGTTTTCCTGCTTTTCTGATTAAAGCTCCTGCCCAGAGGTATCAGCACACAAACTACTGCGTGGAGGGTTTCGGTGTTGCTCCCTCCTATCACTACACTGCACTCCACGACGCGTTTCGGCCTTTGTTGGGCTATCAGATAGATATGGTTTGATTTGGGAGTGGAACTCGGCACACAGTAATTAGCCTTTATCGTCATGATCACTAGGCTATTGAGCGCTGCTCGTTTAACTCTATGCCGATAAACGCCAACTACTGTGTGCCGAGTTGCACTCCGAGATCAGACTATTCCTACCTGATGAGTCCAAATCAGGAAGAAACCAACCGGTTGTGGAGTGCAGGGATGAGAGAAAGCAACACTGAAACCCTCCATTCGGATATGGTCCCATGATCGGAGTATCAGAAGCTAACTTCAAAGCCAAGCGGAGCCACAGCTGAGACTGCATGTCGTAATCCAACGTACACTTCGCGTGCTACAAAGCCCGACAATAAACTAGTAAAAGGATTTTCAAGCCCCGTCGATATGCATTACCATGCCTCTCGACTGCACTCAATAGTTGAGCCGCTGACGAATCTCCCCGAAGGTTCTTTTCTTGTGAGCAACTTGGACAACAATGGTCACTGACATTCCATCAGTACAATTTGGTCGGACCAAGTGCCATGTCTCGCACTGTCGAGTACTACATCATTTATCTAGTTTTCCATCTTTTTATGTTTGCTGGACAAATAGTTCTATTTTCGACATGTACTTCTACTGCAGCTAGACATGGAAATAGGGTCAAGGATGTGATCTTATTTCGTCATGCACATGTAGCCATGAGGGGCGATCTTTGACACTTGTGACACCCGTGGTTCCTTTCCAAGTCGGATTTAGTTCGCACTGCAGACTACTGGTTTATTTAGGGAAAAAGCCATACAATCAACCCATAGTCTACCGCGGGCTCGTCGTCGTTGTGGTATGCGTTGCTATTAGATCTCGGTGGCCTAGTCGTAATTCATTCACCGCTAAATCACAGTGTCGAGTTCGCGCATTGACTATTGTTAGAACCGCCTGACGGCGTTGACTATTTTCTGCTCTATATGGAGATCCATATTTCCAGCGTCCCAACTTAGCTGTCACCTAGCTAACATCTGGGTTCTCCTCTCCGCAGTCCTCTCACCCACCCCTCATTATGTCCACCCAGGTTGGTCGTTGGGGCAGAGCGCGTGCGCAGTGATGGGAGCTAATGGTAAGTGCCACAACCACGTCCGCCGGTAAGCCCGCCCGATGGCCTGATGCGTCTTAACACACGCGCAGCCCAAAAGCGCCCTCGCAGCACCAACAAACGATAGAGGGAGAGGACTGGCGCGGTCTTTGGCTGTCGTGTACATTCAGTACTCAAGCTCTTTTAGCGAAAACTTGTTTCAGCCCTGGGTCCTGTCCTGTCCTGTCCGAACCATTCTGTCCGCGTCGTTCGGACGACAAATTTATTGCGGCGCTTAGCAGGCGAAAGGTATCTACTTGTCCTGTTATCACCAATGATTTCCTTCGTGGCCATTGACCACTAGTTATCTCTAGGTGAGTGATGTGAGCTCCTGTGTACTTCAGTGCTGCCACAAATCACGCGGCTTGCTAAATTCCCTGTCTTCAGGACTGCTCATGCCACACCACCAAGTGAATAGATCAGATTTATCTCGATCTTACCATCAGAGGTTTGGAAGTGGGCAGTGACTTCATCCAGTATACCACTTAAAAGATAGCAGTATGCGCGCAATAATATTGTGTACATTGCAGGAACCGCAGCCTATCGCTTATGGTGACAGAACACAACCCTCATTCACCGATTTGCCACCGCCTGCATTAAGTAAGGCAGTTCCTGGCCAAATAAATGCAAATCTGGCGATGCTCATTGGTGGTTTGCCGTTTTTTCATCTATTTCCATGGTACGATTGAAACACATGCATGCATTTCTGTGGATTTTTTTAAGTTTGGTGTGATCTCCATCGAGTAGCTACCAGTGACACTCCGGAAGCACACTCCTGGTTTGCGGACCCACAACTTTATGGTGGGATTACTGAATCAAAGGCTCTGAGCGCAGCCCCTAAGAAAAACACTGCGTGTCGTGCTTTAAGTTAACCCAGAGGCTGGATGAGGGCAACTTTTACCAAAACCACTCTCTGCGAATGGAGAGGCGAGAACCGTTATTTGCCTACAAGATCCCGTCTCCCGTTGCCTCTCCCCTTTCAATTTTTGCCTCTACTTTAGTTATCTTCCCCAATTACTCATCCTGAAATCACCACCAACTTTGTACCTGGTGCTACGTATGTACCTAAATCGTCCTTCACACCAGGGGGTGCCGCTGTACAATAATACTCTCAACATTAATGCCCTAGCGTAAGTCGATAAACTGGCCGTGTTACTTCACTCTTCATTCTCACGGCCCGGATATGAGCTGAGCCCCCGAAACATACACGCATGAAACAAAAGTGTGGTAATAAGTAATTGTTTCGGAATCTGTCAACTGTGACTACACGCTTCGCAGTTCTGTAAGAACAAGTCGATCGCACAACCTTCTTAACCGAGTGCCCTAGATGTCGAGAACTCAGAACAACACCTACGCGTTCATCAGTTCAAACCACTGCCGGTCTATTGATACGTGCAAAGCGGTGATGTATAAGGCGCAGAGCTCGTAAAATCAAAATCCAATCGATACCACTGTTTGTTGGGCCGTCGTTGGCGGGTGGGCGACAATTCAATTGGTTCCAGTGTAAAAGATTAAGTATGAGATGTACATTGAGTGCGCACTTGACATGTGGTCATACACATTGAACCATATAACCGTCTTACCATGTGTCCTGGTCGCCATCATCTCCCCGCACGTCCTCGATGTGAACTTGATCACATTCCTGCAAAGGGAAGATTGTGAGGAATGGTCACTCTTTTGACGTTTTAATGCATACTGGTGAGCAACGGTTTGTCTTAAGTTGAAACACGTAGGATAACATCTGTTGTTGACAGAAATTGGGTGTTGCCAGTCTGAAAACCTTGTGCACTACGACGCGTTGCGACCTCAGCTGGTAAAAATGTCAACTGACGAAGGGTTATGTCCTAGCAAAGCTTGTGTGGCAAAATGACGAAGTTACTACAATCTCTTCAGTTGGAGATAGCAGACATGAAATCAGGGTCCGCTGGGGTGTTGTTTGGGGTCTCTGCCACTTTGGTAACCGGGACACGACAGGCAACGCTTGTCACAACAATTAATGACTGATTGTTGCTCTCATTTTGAAGTACTCCTTGTGTGTGTGTGTGTGTGTGTGTGTGTGCGTGTGTGTGTGTTACGACGACAACACCCAATGTCCATCTGCTTCGGTTATGTTCCCAGTGATCGAATTGGCCTAGGTTCACCTCAGTGCGAGATTGCGTATCGCAATCTATTCACACAATGCGTGCTTCCAAATGACCTCTACAGGTAGCACTAAACATTGTGACAGAGATTGCCCGTCGCGACTCGGTGACTTTGGGATAAAGGTTCTAGTTGACCCCCCCTCCCCAATGTTCCGGCGTTCGAATGCCTGTCATCTGTGCCTGATAAAGTCAACTACCCCATGTCTCACGACTTTGCGAGAAGCTGAGCACACACAGAGACTTATTCATAACACCACAAATCTTTTGTGTTATTGAATAGGAATAAATGCTTATGTCCAACATCAACATGTAAAAAGTGGGGTGGAGGAGTGTCGGAACAATGGCATTCCATTGTACGAACAAAACGCAATCGATTGGTTGACGAACTACGAGTTTGTGGTTTCAGTCAGTAATCATGACGGCTCCACTGTAAAAGTGCAACATGCAGAATTGTAGGTTACCTCTTTTGGCACCTAAAACGACTACGATTGTGCTGTTCCTCACCCATCGCGTAGTCTGATGATGCAATCGAGCTTTCGATTACCCATTCTTTGTGTTATAGAGCAGCGCATACTCTCGCCGCACCGTTTATCGTTATTTTACGAAGTTGTAGAATAGGAGATACCGCTACGTTTTCTTTAAGTATGTCACCAACCTTACTAATTCCTGGCTAAGATCTCCAATTTTCCAACATCATGCAACTACCGCCGGTTCTTATTGGATCACTGGGTCCGACCACTCGTGTTGGTAACCCTGCACACTTAATACTGGGGGTACTAGTGTAGTGGCGTGGAAGGCAACGATCACGCAGGAGACTGAAAAGCCACTAGAACGAGCGAGGACCGAAACGGGCGCAGGCATCATGGACAAGGTCGGACGGCGCAACCTCAACTCAACAATACGAGCAGAGAGCGGACCTCAAGCGACGAACAGGAACGGACCCGAGCCAAAAAGTACACAAAAGGGATGTGCCGATAGGCCAATAAATCAGACCGAAACACCGGCGTCGATGCATCCAGGAATAACCCCAAGCTGAACATGGCAACCGAGATCAAGCAAATCAAGAGCTTTAGAACAACTCCAGACTGGTCAGAATGCAGACTACGATAACAAAGCGACGGGGTCAGACAGACAACCAGGACTCCCAAATATGTAGACCAACGAGGCACAAACGTAATACGTGATTCCCCATGTATGTTGTGTTGTTGAACGGAAACGTGTTTGATGACTGCGCGCATACATGCAGATTGTGGAAACCGTGATCGCGCGCGATAGAGATGGCGCTTTCTTGACGCTTCGTTCTTACTACACTAAGTGTGGCATTTCAACGAACTAGCCTTTGAGTTATGCACTTCCATCAGCAACCAGAGGTTGGATGGGATCCAAGATGAATTGTCTCAAGTTTCGCCTTTACAAAGCATCAGTTGAGCCTCAGAGAACATCAAAAATGATTCGGTCATGGAATCCCTATTCGGAAAATTATGATGAAACAGAAGTATTTGCATTGGCTTGCTTGTAGCGCTTTGCCGCTAATGTTCCTCTTATTTTTCACGACCTCTTTTACGATTAGTTTGCCTGCAATCACGGCTTACTGAGTTGATTAAACAGTACCTAAATGACTGTTGACGAGTGTCTGGGAGTTGCTGTGGTTTCCAAATCACAAATGTCAGCAGTATGGAGGGCCCACATGCATAACCTGACCTTGGTTCACTGGGAGTTGCAAGTTGACCGAAATCATCGCCCAGCATATCATGCGCGTGGTTCACGATACCTATACGGATACCAGTTGATCAACTCATTTATCTTGTGTCCCGACATTTCTGATGACGCTCACCGCTACTCTCAAGACTGGGAGAGTGTTGTAGATTAATTTCACTATCCGTTCGCTGATAAACCTTTATTGGTACTTATTGTACCCCTTGCTCGGGCAATCGCTTCACATGACGTAGGCTCAAACATGGATGTAGTTACTTCGCGGCAGTGTCCGAGCCCCACCTGACTGAGGATGAGATGTGTATATGATGCGAAACTTGACTCATTTTAGCTTGCCATCAGGTGACAATTTGAACCTCAGTTTCTTGCCACATTGTGAACTATGTGGAGAATGGAGATCTGGTTTCAATGATAAAGTCCAACTTAGTGAGTAGCAACTTGTGTTGTTCAACAACCGGACATTTTCCGGAATGCACCATGCATTTCAGTTGGCTTACAGTCATTGTATCTAAAAGCTGACGCTGCCACGACTATGGGACTGAATTCACACAGTTCTGTCATCCGAATTTAGCACTTTCGACGCTCCAAGGAGCAATTAAACATAGAGGGGGCAGAAGTTGAACAATGACGCGATCTAACTGTGTACCCAAGTGAGCCATTTTTATGAACACCACTAACCTCCAGTTCGTTAAAGAAAAAATGCGTGTCCGCCAGGTTGTAAATCATTTCTTCCATCCGTAGTCCGTAGGCACCTGCCAAAGTCGGATCCTAAAGTCAGAAAGTAAGAAATGGTGAAGGTTTGTTCTTGGAACCAAAGGATTTGTCATCGAAGCAAATATTTCCTTTGAAATGGCTCTTCACCACAGTTTCAACATTGTGGTTTTGCGACACAGGAACAGCATTAGTAATGGGACAGAAGAAAGCTTGTGTCTACGGCACAGCTGAAACGAGTACACCGAAAGTGAGCTAGCAAAAGAAAAGAAGTGCACAGCTGTCCCAGCCTTACTGATGGGAAATAACTGTACTATGCTTGAAACCAGGATTAAGAAGAATTATACGGCGACGGAGATCTATACGCGAAAAGAAGTGAATGTTCAGGCGTACCTTTTACTGTTTAGTAAACATAGCAACTGCTTCGTACACAGGGTATTCTTTTACAAACTTTTCAGGTGGCCTCTGATTACTCGCTTATCGGCTGTGGTAGGTTAGTGTTCTACCGATTGAAAAGCAAAATTCCTCGGGTAACCTTGTAAAATGTTACATCAGGGGAGACTCGAAAGGCCAATAATATACGAAGCGTCGTTAGAGCTTTTACTCTAGTGTCATGCATCGCTGATCCAGCCCGGGGTTAATCAGTATAAATATCTAGTAAGGGTGACGTTAAAAGCTGCGCAGTTATCTTTTGCAAGGCTTCCTGTCAGCCGTCCTCTCCACGGCCGAGTTATTCCTTGCCTGTGCTTTTCAACTACCATTAGATCTAGCTCTCGCTGTTAACGGAGGCTAGCCTAACAGTACAACTGCGAGTTATTGTACATGGTCCAACTCAAACTAACAGCAGGGGAAATCGCTAAGGTACACTGACACTGCCAGGTGCCACTACAGCATAATGCTATATTTCAGTGTGTCTGTGACACTAAGATAAATCGGTAGTTACTGTGGGGGCCAAGTGCAGAGGAATTCACCAAGATCGAAGGTAGGCAGACAATCGCGAACATTCTGGAGCAGGAATCGTGGACCAATCGAAAGGAGCATATCAGAGGTGTCATCTTACACTTACTACTGACCCAGAAGACAATACTGGAGCCCTTTAGCCCCAAACTTCTAAATCCAATCCTCCATGGCCTGCAGATGACCAGTAGTTTCGCTCAACACAGCCTAGCGAAGAAAATCGGAACTAGACGACGAGACAGGCTAAATGGTCTAGGCAATGAATACACGCTGGAACATCGGTCCAAATACAGCCCAACCTGCTATGGCTACCACCTGTCTATGATGAGTAGCCAAAAACGACCCCAAATTTTTTCTCCTATCAGTAATCTCCCTATGCATGCACCTGTTTATGGCAACCACTTGTCCAAGGCGACCACTTTTGTTGGTCCATTGAGTGGTCGCCTTAGACAGGTTCCGCTGTATTATCTAGCTGATGGTGTAGCTGTGCTGCTTGACTGCGCTAGTCTAGTTATGTATGGTAATACCGTCGCTATCCACCTTTACAAGGGGAGACTCGCGAGAACGTGTCAACGAAACGTTGTTAACCTTCCACTTGTTGAACACAAGCCAGATCAATAGCGCGCAAGGCCGAAAGAACCATCAACAATTTCACAAAAGAGTTACGTGCAATGATATGAGTTCGAGCAGCGTCAACCTGTCAAATTTACAGGTGATTTCGCATATAATGTTAAGTGTACGTGAGAGATGGAGAAATCAGTGACTCACTTGGGTAAGACGCATCGGACGCCTACACCATGAAAGTAATTCCACACTAAATGTCCCTGGACTACTGTGGATATCAAGAACCTGGACTTGGCTTGATTTCAGCAGTTAACCAACGGTAGGTCGAGGTAGACACTTCAAATTTACTGTATGACCATCATCTAATCATGTGCCTACGGAATTTGGCAATTTATAGAGCAAAGTCATTCCTCAAGCTATTGTTACCTGAAGAGCCCACTACAAGGACGGGATCGATTGTGGAATGTTTCGTCTAGATGGAGTAACATAAAAAATGCGCATGTTCACAAACACCATCCAGTGAGTGGAGAAAATAGGGTTTACTTTAAAATAAGCTGCTCTTCAGCTTGAGATGGCACATTGCATTTGTGGGCACGAAGAACAAATCTACCCAAATGCCATTATTCGAAAATCGTCTAACCGCCGTGACACGTGATTTTTGTACCAACTGTAACTAACGCCGAATCAGAACTCGACGAGGTTCGAGGTTCAATCTCGTCATCTTTGTCACAGTGATCCACGCGCGGGGGCAACCGGTTGCTGAGTGCTTGCTAAGAGAGAGAGCGACAACAGGAAATTACCCTCCCCACAACGCAATGCAATTTAGGTGTACGTTTATCTGCTGTGAAGGGGGCCAACTGGGTCGATAACGTCTGTACGCTTGATGCGGTGTCTCGTCTGGCAAGTGATCGACAATAAACAGATGTTCTAAGGAGGTAACATGGACAAGGGCAAGAGGACTATCTACAAGAGCATGCGGGAAGCATGGGCACAAACCTACTCACACTGAATATCTCTACTGAACGTCTGTTAATAAAATTTTCCGCAAGGAACTCCCAATTATTTGGATACAGCTGTCCCATCCCGGGAGGCTCTATCACGTTTTCCGATAACTTGATCCCAAACTCCCATTCATTTCGGGACTTTGGACTCAGGAAATCTAACCACTTCAGTTATTCTGAACATGTACTTTACCAAGTTCCAAGAGCCAGACCCGATCACATCACTAGAATACTTTGCATACTTTAGACAATGACCCATGAAACCTACCCTGAAATAACGTACTATAATACACAGCCAACTAAGAAAGAAAGAAAGAACGGCTTTGCAAAATGTCCAAAGATCATATACCAGGCTGGTCATGGCACGCTGCTCCACTTTGACCGTTGTTGCCACCTCCGAATGGACCCACATTATATATATATATATATATATATATATATATATATATATATATATATATATATATATATATATATATATATATATATATATATATATATATATATATATATATATATAGTGCGCTGTGGCTGCTGGTGGCTAGATCCTGACAGATGGTCTACCTACTGCTGCCACAGTCGTGCCATGGGCTCATGTCATGGACGCCTCCTCATGACGACCGTTGGGTGGGAGTTGGGTTACGCCCTGCTCTCTGCTAAGATCCAGGACACCAATCCGCATGAGTCAGCGAGTTGACCATCTGCTACACCCGCTGACTTTCGGGTGCACATTTAATCGAACACTTTGGCTGAGGACCCGAGTCGTTCTCCTGTCAGATGCGCGTGCCCTGCCAGTATCCTAGTCCATCCTCTTCGGAGGTTAGGAAGTGATCGATGGCCCTCTTCCCGCAAAACCTAGCAATGCGAGAGAACAGGTCTACGGGTCATAAGCTCACAGCTCGATTGACATAGAGCACGAGTGCCATGCATTCTCTCTGACGGTGGGAGGACACTCCCGGATGCTCAATGGTTTGCTATTGGCCGCCTTAAGCGAGGCAGCCCCTGGTCAAATTGATGCAAACCCGTCAAAAACCCATCTGCGTCTGGCCGTGGTCACAGGTGCATAACCAACTACGGTCGCAAAACATAGATGAATTGTTCCAGTACCTCGAAGGCTGCGTGTGACGGCCGTCAAGCAGACCCCAATCTGTCTCTGCAAGCACATTCCCGAGCTGTATCTGCTCCCCACCACCTTGTGGGTCAGGCTATTGAGCCAAATGCTCCAGATAGAGTCCCTGAAGCAAACTTCCGAAGTTCAACCACCACCTCGCGTGCGATTGCCCACTAATGCAACCGTATACTTTCGCGCAAAGCACAGCATCGGGTGCTGGAACGTCCGTACACAATTGGGCAGGAATTCGAGTGAGAGCACCCAGGGAAGCACTGCAATGATCGCGATGGAATTGGCGCAGCATAACATCGATATTGCGGCGCTCAGTGAGACCCGACTCGCTGAGCAAGGTAAGTTGCATGAAACAGATGCTGGCTACATGTTCTACTGGGTGGGCAACGCCGCCTGAGCACCACGTGAAAATGGGGTCGGATTTGCAATATCTGATCGCCTCAACTGCCAGCTGGTGAGTGAACCAACAGACATCAGCGCGCGACTGATGATTGTTCTTCTACCACTCGGAAGAGGTAAGTTTGCCATTTTACAAGCACGTAGCGTCCCACCAATGTGTTATCCCGATAACATGCGTGATCAATTCTACACTCAGCTATTCTCCGTGATACGATCTGTGCCGAGGAGCGACCAACTATTTCTTCTGGATGATATCAGCGCGCGCGTTGGGCGTGATGCATCGGTGTGGACAGATGTTATCGGTCCGCATCGCATTGGTTCAGCGAATGCGAACGGTGACAGACTGCTCTCACAGTGTGCCATTCACGGCTTGACGAGTACGAACACTCGGTTTTCACTGGTGCACCCGCGGAGTGGTCACACTCACCTGCTTGGCTATGTCATCATATGTCAGCGTGATATGCGTGAAATGGGCATGACATATGTACTGCGTGGAGCTGTGTGGCACTGATCACAAATTGGTGTGGACCAAAATGTAGATATATTTTCGTAAATCTATATATTGCACTCTCACCATGAATCGGCGCAAATTTAACATTCTCTCCGTCTGTATTGTGGCGAAACGTATTGAGCTGGAGAATGCGATGGCTGCACGTCTGTGTGATGTGGAATGCATAGCCACAGTGGGCAACCTGTGGCACCACATTCGCGACCAGATGACAGCTACTGCCTGGACGCACAAACTCTAAGCGGTCTGATTGTTTTGATGAGGAAAGAGCGACCATTGGTGCATTGGCGTCGGAGAAGAATGCAGCATTTTCTGCACATGTGGCAAACCCCAGTGACTTGGAGAAGAAGATAAAGTTTGGCGGAATTCGACCACGACTGACCCGAGAGCTCCGTCGTATTAAAAATGTATGATGGACAGAGAAGTCGAAGCAGATGGAATGCTACTCCGAACACCGTCAACAGAAGGAATTCTTTGACTCCTTGAAAGCTGTGTATGGACCGAGGTTGGAGCTGCTGAGGACGCTGATCGATGGTACTGTGGGCGCTACCTGCACCCAGACTGCAGCCATAATGCAGGTCTGACGGAAAATCTTCGACTGTCTCTTGAACAATCGTTCAGAGATCGACTGATCTACATTGAACAGCCTGAAGCAGCACGACGTGTAGATGAATCTGGCGGACACGCCGACACTGGATGATATGCAGGGAGCCCTTGCTCAGCTGCGAAACGGCAAGTGTGCCGGTGTCGACGGTATCCCGCCTGAAGTATTGAAACACAGCGGATCCGCGTTGGTGATTGCGCTGCACCACTTGGTGCAACGCGTGTGGATTGAGGAGGAGGTGCCTCCTGAGCTGAAGGATGCCCTTGTGCTATCACTGTACCACGGAATAGGAAGCAAGCAATGTGCCACGAAGTATCGTGGCATCAAGTTCCTGAGTTGTGTGGACAAGGTGATTGCCCGAATCCTACTCAACCGCCTTGTCAATCACATTGTGGAACCTAACGTGGCGTAAGAGCAACATGGATTCCGTTCGGTTTGGTGCACTATAGATCTATTGTGTGCGACTCGTCAGTTGCAGGGAAGTGTAGAGAACGACACCAGCCATTGTACTCGCATTTTGTTGATTTCACCAAGGCATTTGATACGGTGAAGCGCGACGCGTTGTGGCTAGTGTTGAGTAAGTTTGGTTGCCCACTTAACTTGGTAAGTTTAATTGAATGTCTGCACAGTGGTATGCGGGTGAGGTTGCAGCTGAGTGGAGAAACCTCGGATGACTTTGCTGTTATCGCTGGTGTGACGCAAGGCGGTGTCTTAGCTCCTGCCCTGTTTAATATTTATCTGCATGCAATGAAGTCTTGTGGCTTTGATGTTGCTTGTGCTTACGGCGTTCGCGTAGAGCACATATTGATATTGGGTTGGTGAACATCCGTCGTTTCGGTGCGAGAGGCCTAGTCTGTGAGACAACTATCGATATGTTGCTGTTTGCTGACGACTGTGTGTTGTTTGCACACAACGCGGATGTGTTGTAGCACATGACTGGTGCTCTGGCTTCGATAGCGGCCAAATTTGGGCTCACTATCAACACAAGCAACACTGGCTGTTTTTGTCAGCCTTCACCGGAAGTGCAATCTTCAATATTGCCGCGAATCAGCATTAGTGCTGAAGTGCTGGAAAACACCTCCCGCTTCTGCTACACTGGGAATGTGGCGTCGACTGAGCAGCAGCTGCACAGTGAGTTGCGTATCCGCATCTTGAAAGCAACGGCGTCATTTGGGCAGCTAGAGTACCAAGTGTGGAACAACCATCAGCTTACCATTGGCACGAAGCTGATGGTGTACAAATCCATGATGCTGTCCGTTCTTCTATACATCAGCGAAACGTGGACGATGTACCGGCGGGGTGTACGATGTTTCGTGCTGTTCCATCACCAGTGTCTGCGACGGATTCTGCGCATCCGTTGGTGCGATAGAGTTGCGAACACGGAGGCGTTGCACCGTAGTGGAATGTATGCAGTGAGCAGCATACTTTTGCTGAGACTCCTTAGGTGGCTCGGTAATGTGAGCCGTATGGATTCTACGCGGAACAGCGAAACAGCTATTATATGATCGGCTGAGTGTTGGGAAGCGGCATGTGGGGAAACCGAAGCTTCGTAACCAGGGCATGCTCAAAATGAGTTTCTAACGTTTTAATCTTGATTGTAGGTCATGGGAATGGAAGGCGGTTGATCGGCCTGCATGGCGCGAGCTGATCACGAGGACACTTGCCGAGGAGCGAGATGAAGCCCTCATGCATGCAGAGAAGTATCGGTACTTGTGGTAGGGACAGGCGTCGAGAGGTTTTACTCCATCGACATCGAGCGGATGGTGCTGTGGCACATGCGGTCCGGAGTGCATGAGTCAGGCAGATCTAGTGAGCCATGAGCGGGCCACGCGGGGCCAACACCGAAACGACGATGAGTCCTGCAGAGAACGTAAGCAGAACCAGCGCAGTGTTTGTAGGTACACTGTATTCGATATAATTACCGCGTGCTTGCATTCTGAGTCCCTTAATTTCAGGTGGTGGGTTTGCTATATTGTCCTAATGCTCTTCATCTCATATTAATGTCTACCTGAACTATCTTCTATAAACTTGCACACGTCGCTTAAACTACGTTAATTAACTTAGATAACATCTTCGCCTTTTGGCCTTTTCGGAATATATTTTCTGACCGCTTGAACTTATCGCTGGTTTGTTTGTAACCGATTTATTTCTTATGCTCATTTCATGAAGAGTTGCGTCGAGATGTCTCTATGCGTTATCCGGTTTCTTTTATTTGATCTCTTTCTTTCAAGTGACTGGCTGTTGCTTGATATCCCGGATGTGGCTACGCTTGAGGGGTTTGTTGACTAGGTGCCTACCTGTCTATTACCCACTACGTCGTCCATCTGGCTCCAGCAGACAGTTGGTCGTTGCTGGAGGGGACGGCGTGCACGGTCCTTGTGACCGTGCTAGGTTCGAAGAGTGGTTCCATGCACTCAGTGTGGAGCGGAGCACGGTCCACTATTGATTCCCAAATACAGCATGCTTGTGTTTGCCTGTGAAGGAGTGTAAACGGGCGCTGTTTATGAAACGTGGCTCCCATCCACATGCTTCCCGGTCTTATTCCTTCAGGTTTACACTGGATATGGGGTGTGTGGATGGAGCGGTGCGTGGTGCAGCGCAAGCCAACCATGGTCCCTCTGTAGGCGCAGGCGTCCTGTGGCTGGCCACAGTGAGAGGCAAATCCGAAACCGGATGCCGCCAACCATTTATTTATTTATTTATTTATTTATTTAAAACAGCCACAGCAGGCATGAGCAAAAGGAGAGATTGAAAGGGAAAACAAATGTTAGGGAAGAGGATTCTCACAGCAAGTGCGCTATTGCGTACGGTCCTTGAATATATTCTCCAGCGGTTGCAACCAGATGTGCTCGGGTTCCTTTGGTCCCCAACCCCACAGTCGGGAACGCCCACTAACAGCCATCTTCAACGTTTGCGCCTTAAAGCCTGAAGGATAATCTGCCTCTTCTATTAACATTATTCATAACCAGATTTTCACGGAGAGTACTGCTCTCGAAATACGGAAAACCGCCACTTACTCTACTCATAATGGCGGTTACTTGTTGTCCTCATAGCCTGCGAGTCATCAAATCCGATCGACATTATTTTTGTAGGATTTACTAATCTGTGGAACCAACTTCCACTACAAGTACGTACGAGTGTTTATCATGTCACGTTCCGAAATTCTCTACAGAACATCCTCAGTATTCCGAGTGTGTAAAAAAGTGCTTTTCGCACATTAATCGCCGGAAACATTGACGGAAGCTTATGTAAACCAAGTATGAGTAGCCAATGGCCTTCAGTCATCTTATCCTCACTTTTCATTACCCATGAAATTAAGCAGAAAATCTGAAACAGTTGTACAACTATTTGTACGATTTGCATTTCGAGTGATGAGGCTGATGATCCGAGGAAATATTTGTAATCCGAAATTCGATTGTCCATCTTGTACTTCTATTAACCTTTTTTAACTATGACGCTGCTTCTGTGTACAAATGATCTCTCCCCCTTTTGGGGCCGTATACCGCTTGTCGGTAAATATACGAATTTATTTATTCCGTTAGTTAATTGTTTACAACCTTTTCTATGCGATAACATTCGCAGCGCCTCTAGTTGGTCATGTGACTGATTACTCCGATTTCTGTGGTAGACTGGCTACAATTATTCAGCTATACAATTCCATATCCTCGTCGTTCCACCTTTATGCGATGGCTTCCTGAGAGATTTGTCACTGCCGCAAGGCAGTGGCCGAGAACACGGTAGGTACGTTATGCGGTTGGAAATGGAAATTATGCACCACACACCACAGGGTGCTTACCTTGCCATAACGATGGGCATAGTAACCGGTTAGCAGGGTGTGAAATATTATTAGGGTTTCATCCAAATCCCAAACGAACACTCGCAAACCCTTATCTTCCATTCGACCCGCATCCTTGCTGGATAATGTTCCGGTTGAGCGTGAATCTCCCCGGTCTACAACGTTGACAATTCGCGGAGTTGATGGTGGAGGTGGTGGTGGCGGCTGTGACGACATCAGCGGTTGATCGGAGTAGAAACAATTGAACCAGGTGGGTTGACCGCCTGAAGCTGGTGAGTGGTCTGAGTGCGCTGTTGGTTGAAGCAAGCCGTCGTGCTGCGGACCGGCCACGAAGTACGGGAGGTGAGGGAATTTTTCAAACGAAGGCTGGGACCAGGAGAATGATAGATCACCGCGGGAGACACTGGGCGACATGGACTGCATTGCTTGAGTCACTTTGAAGCATTCATCCACGGACGACCGAGTTCTGGTCTGCATTGTGTGGCTGGTGGTTTTGCCCTCGTGGTCCGCTAAAATCATTCGGCAAAGTCGTTATCGGTAACGAGTTACATGAAAGCTTGGGGACAGCTGCAGTAAATACATATGGAGTTAAGAGCTGGGTTATGGTGAAAGGGGTCTACATACAGCTGTTCATATGGATAGCACATGATTGTCAGCAAATCTAGCTGCCTACTTCCCAATTAATATCCCCAGGTGGACCCACCCGGGTAGTTGCCACACATCCGGTGCAAAGCTGGGTGCCCCATGTCTTTGTCACTCCTAAGTAGCTCAAGTTTCTTCCAACCGGCGATCTTTCTTTTGAGTCGTGAATATCATCAATAAGCTATAGAACGATGACCGGGGTGACTGAGCAGCTGATCTTTGGTAAGCCTCATCATTCACCGCTGTCTATAGGGATTTATTATCTTGATTCACAACTCCCAGCAGGGTTGGCGGTAACGTACACACGTTGACGCTTCACGAAGAAACTAAAAGATCATCTAATACTTCCCGAAAGTGGAACAGCTGTATGATCGTTTCAATGTGTAGCAGTTCTCAATATAATCGTGCAACCAACGCTCACTGTTAATAACATATGTTCGAGTCCAACACGATCGTGTTGTAGGTTTCGATAAAAAGGCCGTGTTGCCAACCACTTTAGCTACAGTTGAGATAACAAATGATAACAAAGCATGATAATCTGCATCTCACATTATATAACGGACAGTAGCTCTGTACTCAAGCGCATCGGCCAGACCTTTGGGTGCATCGTTTTGCGGGGCAGCTCAGCAGTCCTTCTGTGATATTGTTATTTGCCAATCATTTGAACTTATGCGAAATCCCGAAGTGACACTTGTTAATTTGCATACTATTCAACGTGAACCATTTATGTTTACAAGGAAGGAGATGACCAGTTCTGTCAATATTTTTTGGACCATAGGCGAGGAACTGCAGACTTACCTTCAAGCTGGCCGCTGTTAACCGTCAACCCTATTTTAGAAGTAGTCGCATGGCTTTAAGTTAAGGCATCGAGGTATTAAGATTGTTATCAGTGCTCCGAAATGTCTCATGTATATCATACCTTGGCGAATCAATGGTCTCCGGATTAATGAGATTACCCGCAACTTATTCCTCCTTAGAGAATCTTCTAACCACATACTTATCCCTAGCAGATACCTTGACACACATCCCGTAATGATTCCTTTGAACTAATGGTTACTTTCAACGCAGTTGATTCTGCCAACTTTTTGTTTGAAACAAGCTTGAAAAGTATGGCAGCGAAACCCTTCTTTTGTAAACTGCCCATTATGACTCCCTAGGTGTAATGTGGGTCCACAGGAAGATGCATCGTGAGCCTAATGACATTTAGGGTGAGCCACAGTGGCGAGGTTGATCAAAACTAGCTGTTCGCTTGGCACCTTAAGGAGTGAAAGTTCTTCCGCGAAGCTAAATAAGGAAATTAAACTGCATGGACCACAAAACTCTCTTAGGGCCTGATCGAGTTTCCACACAAATACCCCGAAACATTTTGACGCAGAACGCAGAAAGCCTCGGAATGTCATCCACATCTTCAAATCTTAGGCTGGTACTGTGGACTGAGTCGCCAAGTTATTGGTTTTTCCCATTACTAATCTGTAACAAGTGTTGCAATACTATTGGTTAACCCACCTACAAGTTTAAATCATGTAGGGGCAAGACTTTTGTAGCCTTGCAAGAGGTTGATACTTTCTGGGGATGATGAGATATCTGCTTGTCAGTCAAGGAAATATTATACAACCCTGCGTAACCGTCAGTTATACTATGTGAGTCAAAAAACGTGGTCACCGTACTATGAACATGGCGATGATACTGAATATCTTTGGTCACGCGTATTTAAGGAATATTTCTCATCCCTAATGATAACCCATGGTGAACAGCACATAAGTCTGACAGTCGTATAAAGAGACACAATCCAGTGTTTAAGGGCCGAGCTAAGAGAGCTTACGCGCGTTAGGTATTTCCGTTCGTGTGCCATTGTCTACTGTTGGATGGAAAGGGCGCGGTGGATAGACAGCACGCTTGATGTGGGTCTCGGTATCGTCCACATCTGTAGTCGGAGACATTAATTGCACAGAACATAGGCGCATTCAATGGCAGTATAACTTTACGCTTCCTGTATATGACTGATGGTAATTCATACATAAATAAATAAATAATTTATTCTCGTCATTGCGAGGCACACCATCAAGAGCATGATCATTGTAATACAGACAAGTGTGATCGGCAATTTCACAAATTACTACATTTTGACCAATAGCATGGGAATTTATGTGTGTGTGGACAAGTAGAAGTATGTTTGTGTGTATTTGGAAGTAGCCAGGTTGTGTGAGTATGTAAATGTGACTGCGTGTGTTTTGTTCGCTTGGTTCACCATCAAAGGGGCGAATCAAAGTAACGCTTCGAATTGGATGACATCCGTGATGTGTGAATGATCCTCCGGCAAAGAGAAGAAGCAGTGACTTTATTTAGTGGCGAGTCACATCCGCCACGTCACAGTGTTGTTAAACGGATATATGTGGTTTTTAAAAGGAGAACGCTTGCCAGGCGAAATCCCACCACATCCTGGAACGCTGCCGCCGAACCATTTGCTGGAACGGGATTAACCCGAACCACCCAGCCGGCGCCACGGGAAGGTTGTTCGGCCCAATTTCTAATTCCCTGTAATGATGTCTCACTAATGCGCTTGAATGCCAAAACTTTATAGAACGTCCAATAGGTAGAGAGAGTAAATCATTAAGCCAAACCGCAATAGCTTCGATGTGCAGTTGAGACGCTAGCTAGTGGTAGAGATCAATCTCATGCGTTGCGTGATTCGAAACTATCAACTGTAGCACGTATTGACATGTAAATGTAATTTATCCATCATTATCTGATACAGCTGACACTTCGTTTAGCTAAACCTTGGGGGCCGACAATCAGCACTTACAAAAAGACATTTTGTGTGGCACAGGCATGAGAAACTGTGCGTAGGAGCTTCGGCAACGAGGTACATAGCAGTCACATTGTTTTAGATAAAATCGTAATTTTTGACCAACAGATATCCCAGGTTGAAGAATGCCCGTGTTGTGTGACTGTTAAACTTGGACTCTAACAATGAAGAAGACACGATGTTTGGGTGTTCACGCGCTCACTGAGCTTAGTAACTGAGACGCAACCAAGGTACAAAGCCAGACGAACTCAAGAATACTCTGGCATCCAAATCTAGCTGCCAGTATTTCAGTTATTTTTGAGGGATTAGAAGTAGGTAATGCCGGTAACTCAGGTAAAATCCAATAAGGTAAGGCCAAGTAGGCACTTCACCACTGGCCGTCACTCACTTGTGGATGGGAGATGCATCACCGCCGGACCAGCAGTTGAGCCAACTGTTTGTGTGAATACACCCGTTTGACAAGGCGGACAAACCGCATTACTCTGGTTGACGGATAACAAGTAAGCTGGGTCGCGGCCACCCTCATTGTCTTCACCATGCTCGAAGGCAGATGGTGTTGTGATAATTGATGGTGAAATGAGCGGCAGATTCGGATCAAAACGAGCACCTCGTTCGGCATGGAAATGTCCCATGGAATATGACTGGAGTTTGAGAAAGTACACAGCAAGTTAGCATTCAGGCAACACATAGAAGCACAGTCAAAAGGATATTTATCGCAAAAAGGACCCGATCAGCACTCCAATAAACAAATGTTTCACCCCGTGAGATATTTTGAAAATCTGCAGGCTTCAAGTAAAACTATTTCGCACAGATCAACTTCTAAATAATTTTCAGAAACTTCCGCTCAGATAGATTCCGTCAAAGATCATAGGTTCGGATCCAGCAGGATCCAACGCTACTGACCGGTCTCAATATCACGAGAACGTCGTCTAGCGCTTTCCTGGATGTGTGATGGTTGTCTCACTAAATTTAGCTGCGACGAACATCCTCAAAATACACTAAGCTCTTTACTACTCTCTAATTTCAAAATATGCTGGACTGGGATTTTCCATGATCTCATAATTCTTCAAAGTTGGACTCGAAAGGATCGCTTATGAGTATGTTCCAGATAATGCAAAGCGATTGAGTGTCCCATGTGGACGATACTAGTCATATGGAGCGTGAACCAGCCTATATGTAAACGCCTTTGAATTTTCTGGCTAAGAGTGCTTCAGTTTGTGACACTTACTTTGGAACCTAGAAATTGTGCGGCGCTGCAGTAGCGGGGTAACATATTACTCCTCACCAGTGCTCAAAATCGTCACTAACATTGTAGGAGCACCGTTCCTGGAGACCAAAATATCAACTCTGTACCGCACTTCATTGTGGACTTGCGCGACCTTAAAAAGGCATAACTATGTAAGAAGACAATACAGCGCAAGCTTGTAGTCCAGGGCTAGTTTGTACGACGGTAAAGCGCGATCAGCTCTACAAAAACTACCAGACGCGTGATAAGCTTTTTTATAAAGAAAACAGCCTATTGCTTACCTTCAACAACTGGTATATTTGTGATACCGATGATGACTGGTGACATCACCGAGTGACCGTGCTGTGGCCATTCAGCTTGAGTGTGTTTGTTTTTGGGTGGGTCGAGGAAAATATCTGAACCAATACTGGTTTGAGCACTGCTCACATGTCTGTCAGTCGCCCACCATAGAATGAGTTATTCACTGAGATTTTGTTTGATTCCGTGGAACATCATAGTAATGCAGAATCTGTGCGAAGATCTTTTCTGAAAGGTTTGACTCTGTTGATACGTGGCTTGTTCTTGCAAAAGCAAAGGCTCGCCTGGAAATTTTGTCCAACCTGGCGCCATTAAAGAATCAACAGTGCCTCTTCATTGGGTGCTCAGACCCTAACAACCATCGCTTATGCCTAATGATTGCAAAATTCTCCATCCATGTGCAACCTGTCAATTGCAGTTTCCAGAAATGTAACTCATTCCGTTGACGATGATAAACGCCTGATCATCATATTCCTTGATATACTTAAAGTATTCGATCGGGCATCTCATTGGGAGCTTCTGCCGAAATACATTCCTTCGGTACAGCATAAATTTTGTCGTCCCTTTCTAATTGTCATCAAGAACTAAAAATACTAAACAACAATTCCACCAGAAGTTACAAGTGGCGTATCCTAATGGTCATAGGTCCTATTTTCATGCATATCAAAGACGTCTTCGATGTCAACAAAGGGTAAATCAAATGTGTTCACCGATGATATCAATATTGTCTATAAAGTCCATTCAGACAACATCAGTAACGTCCTGGTCGACACACAAGGGGATCAGCACGAGCTAGAAACGGTGCAGCAATTGGAAAACCGAAATAGGACCTAAGAAGTGCAACTGCACATGCTATCATTGCAGTATTGCATCCAAATCATTGATGCTTGGCACTTTGCCCCCTGTCCCATAATTCGCAATCCTGGGCTGGATTACTGGAGCTCCTTCAATTTCGCCGAACAGATGCAGTATGCTGCCGCAAGAGCCCGTAGACTAGGAGGGCTAATACTAAAATCCTTTCTTTTGAATTGAGCCCAAATCTACCTAAATAAAACTCATATTCGCTCTTTAGCAGAATGTTGCTCGTTAGCGTGCTAAGTGATGGAACTGCGATATAAAATGTACAGCGCTCACTTTCGAAGCGTCTTATGAGAAACCCTAGTCATCTCACTTACTAGGACCGCTAGTTTGAGATACGAGTCCAGTCCCTTCTGGTTAAGGAGCCTCATGTTTGTTATAATCCATTAAGGTGTTATTACTTCAGACATCAAGTTGCTGATTCAACCTTCTCCTATAGTAAAAGCAATAGAAGTAACAAGTTACCAGTCGATAAAACAGAACTAGCTTGAGAGCGGACATTTTACAACCGCTAAGTGGTTGTGTGGAACATGCTACCACAGAATCTGAGCATGTGTTATTCAAAGGGGATTTACCACATCCTACTAAACAGAGAATTGGAAGTGAACAACCTAAGGGATGTACAGCATAGACGTAATATGAGAAGGGTCAAATGCCATTTAATGAATCATAACACCCACCGATTCGACGATTCACTCCATCTCTATCACATCTGCTTTACTTCTCCGCTGGTGCAACGTAGCATAATGAAGCTGTGACAAGACGCTTGCACTGACACTTTAATGTTGTTTCTCATAATGCTCTTTCCTGTGCTCAAAGCTTCAATTTGTGCCCGTGGGAACCATGAGTACAACGGCACTTTAGACGACCGAATCTAATCCTTTGTCTTGTCTTTCCCTAACTAGTCCACCTTACGCTCTCGTTTCGCATGGCTTGACGATGTACAATGCATCTGTGTCAAAGCATACGCACTGATATGGCTTAGAGACGTAGTTTCACCTTCATTTAACGGTTCTTCTGTCTTCCCTATTTGCTTCCATAGAGCAGTCGCATGTTTTTCTTGCCATGTCTACATGGAAATTGGAACATGGGATATTTCGATCTGAATTTTTCTCACTTTTATTCTTCTGCTATTATTATCCTTATATATCCGTCCACACAAACAACATGGTGGCATCGAAGGTGAAAAAGCAGAGGCAATTGCATTCCTTGGAACCATTTGAACAGTAAACAATGAATTTCTACGGGTTTAGAAATGTTGCTTTACAAGTCCCGTTGAATCGTTGCTGGGGATATCGAAATTACAATGGTGATAGTAAAACAGTTGGTATTTTAAGTAAGAAAGTAAGCACATATCATTTGCTCCTCTGTAATCCTGCAATCTGATTAGATTCATAGCACCCGCAGCTTACATCGAATAATTCCATGGTAAACTCCAGGTATAGGATAGAGACAAATCGTAAGTGGATGAGTGCATCATCCAACCGTCTGTTAAATACTGTTAGTGTCGATGCGGAGACGACTGATTCTGGGACAACATTCCACGGGGGACAGACACGAAAAGAAAAGAAATTTCTGTGGCACTCCAGGCGGCTATACTGTACAGCGACTTTCAGTGAGTGGCCCCTCAGGGTTGTATTGGTGCTGAGTCGTAGTAAAGGGCGGCACACATGATGTGGGTCTCGCAGAATCAAGTATGCCATAATCAGGTCGCTTCGTAGTCTGCGATAGCTTCCCCTGAATACACCCAATCGTTGCAGCTTCTCCTGGTAGGAAAGATTGCGCGTTCTTAGATGCATGAGGTTGTGGCTGCTCCAATGCATTAAGGTCGTGTTTCAGCCATGGATGCCAGGCTTGAATTGCGTATTCGACATGGGGGCGAACATACGCACTGAGCATTTGTCGAAATATGGAGCTGTTTATTTGTCCAAACGCCCGTCGCAACTGCCCGACTTGTTGGTTCACAGTCTTTGACGAATTCTCGGATTGCCTAGAGCGACCCAAGTCATATTGAACCACGACACCCAAGTCACATTCGACAGTTGACTGTTGATGTACATTCGTTCCAAACCGAGTATGAGTAGCTGCTCTGATGTCGGATGGAAAATACCTTGTATTTACTGACGTTGAAATGCAGTAAGTTTTGGGTTTTAGGTATCTAGGTCACTGAAACAAATGCTGGTCGGCGTTCGCCTGGATTCTACGCCAAATATTGATATCGTCGGCAAACATTAGGAAGTTTGAAGCGATTCCCTGTGCAAGGTCATTAATAAACACCAAAAACAAACGTGGACCTAGAACTGAACCTTGCGGCACACCACACTCGACTTTTATGGGGTCCAATGAAGAGCTCTGAACTCTGATCACTAACTGCCGTTGAAGTAGAAAGTTGGCCATCCAGCTTAAAAGAGGGTCGCCGATCCCGTAATGCTAGAGGTTGGAGAGTAGTATCCGATGGTCTAGACGATCGAAAACCTACGAAAAATCAAAGTAGATCACACAAACGCCTACTCCAGCGTCATTTGACTTGGTTCAACTACTGAGTGCGATTAGTAAATTCGTTGTGCATGCGCGTTGTCGGCGGGAACCGTGCTGATGTTACAGTTTTCCAGATAGCACACCAGTGCATCGGCAACTATGGATTCCATGATCTCGGCTAATATAGGAAGAAGGGATACTGGACGGTAGTTGGAGGGATCAGCTCCGCTTCCACCTCTGTGATTCGAGATTATTATTCCCAGCTCCCACATGGTGGGAACTTGATTCTCAATATCTTGGAACATATTTGGAACCGATCGGGAAGCCATCCTTTCAGAAAACTTGGTAAACGACCGGTTAATGTATTTATGATGATACACAACGTTTCGCATTTGACACAAATACCTGATGAAGCATTTGCGTCAAGTGCGAAACGTTGTGTATCATCATAAATACATTAACCGGTCGTTTACCAAGTTTTCTGAAATGGGAAGTTGATTCTGTTCTAAGCAGCGCTGGATAAACTGAGCTATAGGTCATGCCAGCTTTTCTGCTGCTGCTTTCAGTGCCTCTGGACGAGTGGTGTCAACTACCGACGAGCTGTGTTTACGTAGAGACATCAGCTTTTGCGGTACAGCCTCCGCGGTAAAAGTGATGTGGGTTAGTCCTGGGGAGGAGACGACAAAGGTTAACAGATCTCTTGGTAGCAAGACCCTGTGAAACGTAGCGCGTTTGCTGTTTCCACAGTCATTCTTGTTGGGC